TTTACATGTATAGAACACATACGGCGGCCGCTTTAGCCGAGTGGTTAGTTGTGAGTATTACCTCGCCGTTGGACCAGGGTTTGATCCCCGGCTAAAGCAACATCCCAAAAAAACAGACATTTTATATAACAAGTTCATTTCTTATAAAGTCCTTTTGCCATTCGGAGGCGGTGTAACAACAACAAGACCCATACTAATTGGAACAGGAGCATTTCACCGAGCTTCTTAGAAAAAAGTGTAAGCGCCAAAAGACGGCACGAATACCTCAACTCTTACATATATATTAGCACTGCCACGAAGAGGTCTATGATTCCCTCAACCACTTCACCGTATATCATCCAACCCCAGAACTCCAAGAAATTTGATGAGGTCCAGTAGTCAGCGATTGTATAATTTCAACACTTGGACAAAGTTCACCTCGATACCTCACTCGTCTCCTTGCCTCCGCCTCGCACTCGCGAAGCAATTGAAATGGAGTCCCTTCGAATGAATCACAATAGCGACATAGGTCGTTCGACCATATCCCCAGCTTATGCAGGTGACTTCTCAGTCCACACTGACCTGTCGGCATACCTATTAATATCTTTAGCCTTTCTTTGGGAAAGTTTATAATCGCCCTTGTAAGATTGTAGCCTCCCAAAAAGCATTTAGCCCGGCGTAAACCTGTAGTGTTACGCCAGTGCTATTCTCTAAGTATGTTCCGGCACTATGGAAGACGAGGCGGCCGCCATTCTTGTTAGGCGGTGCGTTTCCTCGTTACCCACAACTCCTATGTTTCCTGGTACCCAAATTAGTTGGATGGTGCTGTGCTCCGCCAGGGCGATAAGCCTGTCCATGCATTCAAGCACCACGGAAGATTTGACCTGAAATAATGACAGGGCCTTCAGTGCCGCCTGGCTGTCACTCAATATTCGATTTTTCTCACTACGATAATTCCTACGTGGGTTAATCTCTACGCACAGACTAATCGCATAGACCTCAACCTAAATATGCTCGAATATACTCCTACGGGAAAAGAGAGCCCCATCCTTGGTCCATAGATGCTTGTACCAATGCCTTGAGGAGCCTTCTGTATACTATTGCTGAGAGCTAGCCTTAATGCAAAACTCTACCTTGAATTTCCTCTCAAAGACTACTTATTTGGGCTTTTTATCGTGTAATCTCCCTATACGTGACTATTGGTCTAACTATCATGGTTTACATCCATCTCAGGATTTTAGGACTACATCCCTGCTTGCCTACGTGACCTTGGAAGTGATCGCTTCAACATGTGTCTTCCACAGAAGTTTTGAATACCGGATGAAACCTAGGTACTCAACTTCAGCGGTGACTTGACTTGAAAGTAGTATTTCTCATATCTGTAACTGTTAATTTCATAGAAAATGAGAGGTTAAGGTTGATCTTCAGACCCATTCCCAAAAATGAAACCTCTAGCTAAGTTTAGTCCTCCTTGAACTATGTCACAGAGAGTACTCAAGAACTTTCCTACAGCAACAAACACACCTGCATAACCCTGACAGCAAATGTCAGTTTCAAGTGAAAGCCTGAAGGAGTTCCTCCACAAGAGGGGTGATAATACTCCTCCCTGCGGGCATCCACTTGTTGTTTGAAGCTATGCCACGCTGTCCTCGATGTCGGTTTCATCTCTTATATAGTCGGGCCCTAATGCTTTAGGCACCAATATGGGCCTGAAAAATTCTATGACAACCAACTTGAGATCTTTCTTTGGGTCTTAATAGTATGTTGGTAAGAATGGAGAAATCGGCCTGTGATGACTATGAATTTATATGAATAGTTTTAATTATATATTTGTATGTAAAATTTATCAAATTTCACTTTTTCACACCTTGGTAGAAGCCCAATAAGGGGGTGTCCTATAAAAAATTTACATTTTCATACTTTTAACGATCACCATAGTATATATACATATGTACTTTAATTTACTGAAATTTGGCAGGAAGGCTCTTACTAGAGTATAATCAAAATTTAAGAGCAAATAATAAGACGGGAAACTTATAACATAAGCAAAATAACAGACAGACATTACGGGTCTTCACCCCGAGCTCGTCGCTTCGTTAGTTGGCAGTATATCTTTTTTTGTAAATCCAACGAAACCAACTAAAGCGCCTAAGCGCCATGTGATAAAGCGTCACGATGGAAAGCTTCTCAATTTGATCGGTAGTAGGCAAAAGAACAAATAGTTGTTTGACATTCGAATTTAGTTGAAAATGATGGCGCGAAGTACATACAATAAAATGGTTATGTTTAAGATATTAATAGGAAAAGGAAATTTCTCTAAATCATGCGCTGCGAAAGATCATTACCAAACTAACGGAAATAAGTCATAAAGATCGTTTACAGTAAAAAAAAAATTTGTAGAACGGCCAACCAACGAACCGCCAAACTTGGTGTGAAGGCCCCAATTGATGCTAATTTGTCTTTTTAAATGTAGCTAGAACCACAGTGTACACGTAGAACCGAACACATAATATGTATGTACAGCAACTTAAAAAAAAAATAGTCAATCAAAAGTTATAAAACAAATACCAAACTTTCAAAAACTACATAAAATGCCGCTCACTGGAGCAATAGAGGTATTCTCGAAGTCTTGCATGGATTGTACGTATTTCATGTTAAAACCCGGTTTTCCAGTGGGACAACTTTGCAAGCCGTGCAATCCGTGCACCATGCAAGGGGCTTGCAAGACTTCGATAACATCTCATGATATAACTAATGCAACAACAACGATAATAGATCAAAATTTCAATGTAACGCCATTGAGTAACTGGTTTAAACGTTTTTTGGCAATGCATCAGATATGTATGTATGTATGGTATGAATATAAGTAGTGAATAAAAACGAATGTACTAAGAAGAAAATTTTGGAAGCAATTTTTTTTCAAATTTGAATTTTACTCACGGTCGCATCGATAAGAAACGCTTCTGTAGACTACACCAAAGCGAATTCATAGTGATTGGAAAAGACAAAAAAAAAAACAAAGTACATACAAATATGTTTCAGTATTATAAACATTTGATGGCAGACAATATAAACAAATTAAAGCAATTAATTTGAATGCTATTGGTTTCCCTGTTTGTCTCTATGTACTACACATACATATGTATGTGTTTGTATGAGTATTAGCTGATTGATAATGATTTTTTTTTTTTTATAGTGAAGAGTATGTAAAAATATATATGTATGAATTGCTTGACAACAATTTAATTAGCAACAATTTATGTATGTAAAATAAAGAAAATACACATATTTTAAGATTCAAAAAAAAAAACGTTTAAAATCTCTGAATAACATCTAACTGATTTATAGCAAAATGTGCTGATTTTGAAACACTCTTATAAATTAAATACAGATGTGGGCAGTATATGTATGTATGTATATGCATTTACGGCGCGTGCCAAAAGATGAGACTGGGCCCTGCGAAATTGTCAGCCGACGCGTTTACATAGACAACAACACTGTGCGACAAAATGTATGGGAAAAGTTTAAATACTACTACATATTTGAAGCAAAAATACAATATACATTCCTACTACGTACATCCGTACACTCGTTGCCACGCAAACCTTACCACCACTTTTTTTTAATTTAGTAGAATTTTGTAAATGAATACATTTTTTTTTTTAATATGGTTCAAACCGCAACAAAAACTATTAAAGTAAAAGCTTCATAATGTGTACAATATTTAGAAAAACTGATCAAATTTTCTTCAAAATTTCAAACTCTTTAATAAAAATTTTTGCGAAAATTTCGGATATGCAGTTTATTAGCTTTAAGCTACATTTAGTATAATAACATGTTTGAAGTGGCTAAAAATTTTCGGTGATTTTTGAATAGTTTTCTTCCGACGATCTTGTGTAGTTTTTACCATCTAACGAATGTTTTTATTATGTGAAAACAATGCGGAACACTGTACGGAAGAAAAATGCCAACAAGTACTTTTTAAGCAAAAAACAAAACCGACTTCAATTCCCGTATAAAAATTTAAGATTTTTGTTAATTTCTTCATGATCCAATGATAGAGAGGTAACACCTTTCCTTTAAAAAAGAATTATAGAAATCGGTTAACCTGGTCCAGAGTTATGCGGTAACATACATTTAACAAAAAAAAATACATATATATTCCGACGAACTGATAAACTTCTCCTTTTCTTTAAATCGGTTAAAAATTAAAAAAATATAGATATTGGGGTAATTCACACCTGTCTGGTAATCACATTATCTGGTTATGTGGTTATTTTTTTATTCAGTTAACAAGAATAAAATACACTACATACAAATAATTTTTAAGCAGATAACCTGCTAACTAGGCAGGTGTGAGCACGCGCATTGTCTTTTCGAGAAAAGGCTTTGTCTCCTACATCGTGTTATTCGAATCGGAAATTTTATAAAATTCTTATACAGAAGTTCTACTAGGCATTAAATGAGAGAAATGTCGTCTCATTTCAGCAGTTGAATTTGTTTCCACAGGAGCTTTTTTAAATTGCAAACATGTTTTTTCATTTAAATTTAAAATGTTTTCGTTTAGTCAAGCTACTATTTTCAACGAGTACACATTCGCTATGCTCCATTTTTCGTGCCGCACAGTGTAAATAAAAAACTCATATTTTAATTTCTTATTTCGAGGTTCAGTGAAGAGTACGCAGAGGTTAAGGGGCTATCAGCAGGCGACAAATATTAAAAATTAATACGCTTTCAAAAGTAAACAACACCCGCTGTCCACTGGATCTACACACAGCACTACACACCTCACTAGCATGCGCACCCAGTTGACAACATGCGCATTTGTTTTTTTGCTTGTTTTTGCTTTTTATTGCTTGCTTGCCACCACACACAAACACATTACCTTATAATTGCCGATATGGTGCGCACAATGGTGCCGCGCCTGTGATTGAGCGAAATGCCTTCAATAATTTCCTCAATAATTTGTGTAGTCTCTTCCAACTCTTTAGCTTTTTCAGCTTGCATTTCTGACTGATTTCTAGCTTCAGCCTCTGCATGCGTTTCGAAGTGTACATGAGCAGATGAGCCCACTGCACCAGCTTCAGTTTCCTTAACTAAAATATCACTCACGTCCTCATTGACACTAACACTTTTCACATTCTTCTCCTGGCTGTGCTCCAATGTTTCGTAATCCTCCTCCGCTGAGGACATTTCTAATTCGTCTTCAACAACACCACTTATTAAACTACCGGTTTTTGTTACACCAAAGTGCACCATAGCGTATGAGTAATATTCGATTGCAAAAGTTGGAATTTAACTACTACGTTCAAATTTATTTCTCTCTGATACACTCCTTTTAACTTATTACATTCAATTAATCCTGTTATCTTTCTAAGCTGTAACTTGTGCACGGTCCACTTGAGCGCTAGCTAATGAATTGCAAGTCAACGTCGCAAGTTAATTTATATAGCTAAGGTTTTAAGCAACACCTGTCTGTTTACCTCCTACGAACCTTTATACGTACATATCTTATCAACTCACCGAAAAGTTGTGCGGCACCCATGTGTTAGTTAAATATGGTTGAGATTGCTCTATAACCAGTTTGCACTCACAATATTAAATCAGTTTACTCAATCCCACACGAGTTTGCTACTCTCATTAGTAGCCCTTTTTGCATTCATAAACATATTAAATAAATTAACATTTCTCTTTATTTATTGTTATTAGTAGCTTAATATGCATACATACATATGCATAAATATTAGTAGAAAAGGGTGTTAATTAATAACTCATGCATGGAGTTATTAATACAATAGCAATATTTAGACTATTCTTTTTGGCAGTGAAAATCTGCATAATATTTGCTTGAGCATTTAATACATATTTCATATATTCAGTCCATAAACAAACCTATGCCATTTTTTTATAGATAGGTACATATGTTTGAGTTGAAGAAACTGGCAGCTATTAACGTGGCAACAATCCTTA